AAAGTGTCAAATATCTATTAATATGAAAGTGTGAAATATATTTATTTATTTATTCAAATGGATATATTGTATAATGTGGTGGAAGAATTTACCCGTGAGTGGAATAATGGTTTAGTCTGTGACAGCTGAAAGTACTTAAGGCTGCCGGCTGTCAGTAGATGAACTGTTTGTAAGGAGAGCTGTATGCAAATGAATACTTGTTCCACTGCACTTGGTCCATCTCACTGTGATTCCAGCTACGGGCCGCCCTGTTACACCAACCATGGTCATCGTGGGGGGCCGTCTAAATGTCATGTTTTTGATGTCTTGGCTCCATGTTTGTCCTGTCCTACCCACCAGGATCATTCACGTGATGGGGGGGTCAGCATATTGCAGTCAACCAAGTTCTGTTTTCTATTGGTGGAGATTTTGTACACTGTAACTTTAAGCCACGTAACACTGGTATATGTGTAACTAAGAGTAACTATTTGTCTAAACACAACAGAAGCAAAGTGCAAAAAGTCCATTTTAAATGGTGTTTTTTGGCACTTTGCTTCTGACCATTTGTTCCCGTTTGTTTAAAATCTTTGTGGAAGACAAGTTTTTCAGGCTTAAGATGATATTTTTGCACCAACATGGTCAAAGAGCTGAAACAAACAAGCAAACAAACCAAAAAAACCTGGCATGTCCCGACACTGTGTGCTCCCTGTCCTTATACAAACACAAAGCAGTTTGACTACACGTGAAACGGTTTTACGTTCGCCTTCATCCAAACCTTAAATGTTCTTACACAGCTTTGTCTCCTCCAGCTGAGCACTCAAAGCACTTTATACAACTCTGCATGTTTTAATATAAATATAATCCAGGTAATGTGGAATAACACTTTGATGTTATCGTTACTATTCTCCAGTACGTGAACATTTTAGCAGCAGCTTAGCCCTCAAACGTGCACACATGTTTAGGTTTAGTTACTAGTTTGCACCTGAACATGTAAGCATTAGTAAAACTTTTGAGATCGCTTCCCTTACCATCAACGGGCTTCTACTGAAGATCATGTTATATGTTCACGTTAAATTAAAACAGCATCATGTCATATTTCTGACTCTAAGTAAACTAAGTTTATCGATCATATTGTGAAATTTAGGCTGTTTGAGAGTAAAAAGAATTGCTCAGGAAATCACTTTGGTCCCATAGAGATGAATGTAAAACAACAAACGTGTAATGCTAGTTTGCAACAGATGCTGTTTACAGACATTTTGAAACCAGGTGCTCTATAACCCGGCGGGTCGGTGTTCCCTTTAATATGATTCTATTTTAACTATACAATTGGAAATGCTATAATGTTAATAAACCCCCAAAATTCAATCACAAATACTTATTTTGTCAAATCTTTCAGGAAGTAAATTTGCATATTGGCGTCTGCAGAGCCTCAGACCTCGTTACTGAAGCGCTCGTCTCGACAGAGAACAGAGCGAAACACCTCCTGAGGTGGTGTTAGAATATCCTGTTTCTGAACGTTTCATCTACAACGAACGAGAAAGAAGCTCGCCACAGAGCGCTGGCTGTGTCGAATAACAAAGACGGTCATACTGCCTTTCATGCTCGTTCGAATTGTGCAGATTCTCAGTTCATACGTGAGGTTCATGCTGTGTTTGAAATCCTTGTGTGTCGTCTCTCAGCCGCTAAGATGATGGTTTACCTGGAGCCTTCCTCTGATAAGATGGCGTGTGAGATAGCCACAGCGCTGGACGAGTCGCTGGCTGGACGAAGCATTCAGGTTTGTGATGCTGTCCACAGTGACGTCACACAGCAGCTTTGTGTGACAGTAGTTGACTTTGTGTGTGTTGTGCTGCAGATCTGCACCGAGGTCCTGGAGGCTTTGCGTGGCGGCCAGCTAGGTGAGGGTCAGCAGAAGGCAGCGGAGGCCTATCGAGCCGCCTGCCATCAGATCTACCCCTACAGCCTGGCCTTCATGCCGCCTGGTTACCAAGACAACAGCACCATAATCAGCTCCAATGGCGACCTGTCGGCAGGAGAGCACGATGACATTGCGAATGAAATGTGAGACGTGATGAGGAGGAGAAGCGAGCATGTTGCCACACGCCGTAGCCCCTCCCAACACAAAACAAACTGACATTGCACTGAACTGGACTGAGTGCCACAGGAGGCGCTGAGAACTTTTTTTAAACAGCGTCCTGTTGTTGAGTACATTTAAAAAGAGAAACACGAATACGTTTCGGGAGGCTTGAAAGGATTGTGTGGACCTTCGTGGGTACATGGCTTCTGTAAACACAGCTTTTTATAACTCCTGTGTTTTCATGCCATCTTCTTCTTGTTGGTGCATCTGCTTCTCAGATTTTTAAAAGTAATTTATATATTACAAACTGATGGATTAATAAAACAATGTTTGCAAAACTAACCAGTACTCGTGATGGTGTTAATGTTTGTGTGCTCAGGTAAGTAACCTCACAGCCCAGTGCCATGACTGTTTGTGTTGGCTGCCTCAACAAAA